AAAGAAATCAGTCTTCTTGCTAAAGAGCTTTGATCCAGCTGAGGACCAAAAGAGTCACACCAGATGAAGCTTGATAACAATCACAACCAAACAGAAATGAAAGTGTCTTCAAGTTTTCCTCTGGGAGGAATACTGTGGGCCCAAAGAATTCCCTGCTCACGTCCTTGGCGTAGAGGACTGTGTCTCCCTTGTCTATTTATCCTTGGTTCCTGACGCCAGGTGCTATGAATACTAAGTGCCATAAATTGAATTCAATAGTAATATTTTTCAGAAATTGAAATAAATTTAAAAATTAAACTAGAGCATAAATAGTCTTCAGAGTCTCTTTTGCTAGTTTATTCATTCAGCATAGTGTTTCTTACAAGACACTATGCCTACATAATGTAGGACAATATAAATCACATAAAGATGAACAATATAAAGATAAATCATTAATTTTCTTCCCTCAATAAGTTTATTTCACACCCTGTACTCCATATAGTTGGAATACGTATACTAGAAATAACCATAAAGACATAAAGCCTTACTATTATGTGAAAATATTGGGGATTGTTAAAAAAAAAACCAAAATTCTTGTTTATGTTTTTTAAAACATACTTGAAGTATGTGCCTAGAGTTGATCCTGTTAACCACAGGCACATGAGTACACGAGGTACCTATATTTTGTATCTGTGCAAAAACTGCTTTAGAACAGAATTTAAATGTGCCAGAACCCAAAGTTCTTCCAGATGTATGCTTTCACTGATTTCTGGAAAATTCTTTCCCAGTACCCTCTCGCAGTACATAGAGCACATTATAAGATCCAGAGGCCACTTTGTGCTTTTACAGAATTCTTAGCGTTGACTCATGCTGTCATTGTCATCGAAATAACGTCGTAAATCTCCTCTCATCTTTCCATGCTGCTGGCTTATTTTTCCCTTAAGAGGCCTCTCAAGAGACTTTTTTTATAGTTTTCAAAATTCCTATTCTCGTTAATGAATTTTTTCTAAAACTGGGTAAACACTAATTGAATTAGCTGTTTAAAAACATCATTTTCCCTCCAGAGGTTTTCTCACTTTTGAATTAGGTAGTGTTTATCAGGAAAATCCTTCTTAGTGCATGCTTACTGTGATTATATATCTTTTTCTTTAAGTCAAGAGAAATCATTTGTACTTCAATATTTGGGTTTTATTGAGGCCTGATTTGGAGTGTACTTGGTAGAATGTGACCCCTCTAAACAGAATCATCCTTTTCATTGAGAATCGGCCAACAGGGTATCACCTTCCCTTCTTCCTTATGGCAGAATCTCAGTATGGACTCTTGATGCTGCATAACAAATTACTACCAACCTAGCAGCTTAAGACAACACATATTTGTTATCCTACGGTTTTCTTGGGTCAGGAGTCTGCTTGTGACTTAGTCAGGTCCTCTGCTCGAGGTCTCACAAGGCTGCAATCAAGACACTGGCCAGGCCGTGTTCTTGTTTGGAGGTTTGAATGGGAAGGGTCTGCTTCCAAAGAAGCTCCGGTTGTTGGCAGAAATCATTTATTTGGGATTTGAGGACTGAAGGCCTGGATCTTTTATTGGCTGTTGGCTGAAGGCTGCCTGTAGGTGTGAGAAGCCACCCACAACTCCCTGCCACATGGCCCTCTCCACAGGAGGTTCACAACATGGCAGCTTGCTTCTTCAAGGACAGCAGATGTCTCTGTATGCATCAGCTAGTAATCGTGGGATTGATATCCTATCACCTTTGCCGTATTCTTGGTTAGAAGCAAGTCACAGGTCCCTCCCACACTTAAGTGGAGGGAATTATACAAAGGGATGACCATCAGGAGATGGGAATTCCTGGGGGAGTCACCCTAGGATCTGTCCACCACAGTCCCATTGAACTCAAGTACTCAGGGAATGACTCTTCTTAGAGAGGAATGATTTTTATTACTCCCCTGGAGTCAAGTTGTCTTAAAGGAAGTTTGTAATTCTCTAAACAAATCAATTTTCATTCTCTTGTCTTTAAAAAAAAGAAGAAGAAGCCATATAACAATTCTTGGGCAAGGCCTGAGGAAGCCACAGGACCCAGCAGGGTCAAGAAGAGAAATCATGACCTCAAGCACATTTAAGAAGTCAAAATTCAATGGGCCGGCCCTGTGGCCAAGTGGTTAAAATCACAGGCTCCGCTTTGGCGACCCGGGCTTTCGCCGGTTTGGATCCCAGGTGTGGACATGGCACCGCTCATCGGTCCATGCTGAGGCGGCGTCCCACATAGCACAACCAGAGACACTCACAACTAGAATCTACAACTATGTACTGGGAGGCTTTGGGGAGAAGAAGAAGAAGAAGAAAAAAAAAAGGTTAGCAACAGATGTTAGCTCAGGTGCCAGTCTTAAAAAGAAAAAAGTCAAAATTTCAAAACTTTAGCTATCACTAGTTGTTGGTTTGTGTTTGCTTGCTTTGGGATTCATTTTGCTTTGCTTTTCCATCAATATCTGGAGCTACATGTGTTTCATCTGTCTCTCCATTCAAAGCTGGCTGTTACTGCAACTTCAACAGCTCGCAGACTCTCCGTCCACCTTCCCCACTCAGTGCCCTTGGCCCAACACCCACCTCCTCCAGGAAGCCAGCCTGCTCTGACTTCAGAACGTAAACACTGGGCTGTAGCTTGCCTTCTTTCTTCCACTCTTTAACTAACTTTTTGCCAAGACAAATGTGGATGTTGGGCAACAACCAGAGACGTTGCTGGTCTCGGAACAGGAAACATAAAGGCACCTCTAAGTATCAGTCTCAGCGCTTAGTTTGCTGCAGTGTTTGTGGCGAGTGAAAAATGGAGCCTGGCTGTGGTGGAGAGAGAAGCACTCTGTGTGCCAATGGAAGTACGCACTTCAGAGACTTCATAGTTTTGAAACTGCTATTTATGAACATCTGCTTTTCACCCATTAATGTTAATATGAATTTCATCCTTTGAAGCCTACAAAACTCCCAGGTGCTTCTTCAGTCTTTATCTTGGGCATATGCTTTAAAAAAAAAAAAAAAAGCCTCCTTTTTTTCCATCGAACACATTTGAAATCACTTTTGCTGAAACAACATTCGTATGTGCAGTGTCTGTTGGCGTGCCTAAAGTATGGTATTAAATGGTAGCAACTGGAAACGCTGTATGCAGCATGACGGACCTGCAAATGTCCAATCCCAGAACGCAACCTTGATCGTCTAATGAAGCATGCGGAAAAACAGCCATTTCTAGTTCCAGTATGTGCCTTTCATTATTCCACAAACATTTAAATGCTTGCTTACGTGACAGGCATTTTTAGTGCTGAGGTTATAGCAGCTAATACAACAGACAAAAATCCCTGCCTTCATCGTATTTATGTTCCAGTGAATGTAAATGTTCTCTAAAAAGAATTCCCTTTAAATTTTCATAATACTGGGGCCAATCCTGTGGCCCAGTAGTTAAGTTCCTGTACTCTGCTTCAGCGGCCCAGGGTTTCACCAGTTTGGATCCTGGGCACAGACATGGCACTGCTCATTGGGCCATGCTGAGGCGGCGTCCCCCATAGCAGAACTAGAATGACTTGCAATTAGGATATACAACTATGTACTGGGGGCCTTTGGGTAGAAAAAAAAAAAAAGGAAAATTGGCAACAGATGTTACCTCAGGGCCAATCTTCCTCACCGAAAAGAAAATAAAGCATGGGCTCTGAAGCCAAAAAAGAAACAATTTCATAACACCATTCCTATAGCTCATTGGAAATGTTTACACGGGGCCTGCAAACCGACAACGTTAATCCATTCCTGACACAGGACTGGACTCTGGAGCTACCACTGGGAACAAAGTCGATGTGATTCTGCTCTCAAGGAGCTTGGAGTCCAGCACACCTCACCTCTGTCAGGAAACGAGACCTGGGACACAAACTCTGGGGAGGATCCTGGTAGCTGCTTGGCCATTCTCTCTTTTCGATCCCCCATAAGCAGTGCAAACAACGCTTCCACCCATCAGCTCTTGGGGCCCCTGGGAGCAGTTATCGTGGTACAAGAGCCTGCGGGTCCGAGGGAAGGAAATAAAATGACAGCGCAACAGAGGACAAACACAGAAGTCCGCTGGCTAGGTGCAAGGCTAGGAAAGACATCAAATCCCTCTTAGGAAAGCAGGCTTTTAAGAGTGCAGTTCTGGCCACCCTGTAGCAGAGGCTAGAAGTCATTTACATAATAGGAAAGCCTCCAGAGGACAGTAGAACTGTTTAATTTGGTTAGGCTAATCGTTTTCCCCCCATTTACAACGTAATGGAGCCTCTCTCCTCTGCCTCTTAAGCAGGAACACGTTGGCAGGATGCCACAGGGCCCGTAAAACACGGGCAGTCTTCTTGGCGTGTCAATTCTACTCAACCATTTGGAGGGGGACAAGTTAATTAATTTACTGATAAGTAATTTAAGACATTATTTTTCATTAAAACCAATAGAGCCATATTATGGAATAGAATGCAAAATTTGCATATACTTTTAAGGTAAAGCATAAAACTAAAAGAATGCTGGAGCCAAGGGCTGAGGGAGTAAGCTGTCCCCTGTATTTTCCATCAGCCCGCTGCAAAGCCAACCTGAGAAAAACAATTTTGTTGATATGAATAACTGATTCTCAATTTTATATGAAGCGTAAATAAAAGACAAATCCCACAGCAGCATTCCTTTCAACCACACTGCCACTTGGATACCCCTCATTTTTAGAAATTCTGGAGCTGTTACTGGATAGAAAAAACATCCTGGGCCCCTTCAGGCTCTGACACCTCACCCCCCAGCCCTGACGCCCAACCGAGGCCCAGGCTCCCGCCCGCTGTATTGAAGGGTGCTCTCCTGGGAGAGTTTGGATGGCTGCTCTTTTCCAAGAGGTGCCAAGAGAGGTTTCTCAGTGCTCCTGCTGGTCCTCAGCGCTGAGTTTGAGCACTGGCCCTCCCACTTCCACACCCCTTCCTGGGCTCAGAATGCTGTGAAGCAGGCAGATCAGCTTATCTTCTTTGTGCTCTGTGTTCCTGAAACAGGCTCTGGACCAGGTACAGCTCCATCTGGAAGAAGTGAGGTTCTTTGATGTGTTCGGCTTCAGCGAAGCGGCAGGAGCATGGCAATGCTTCATGTGCAACAACCCTGAAAAAGCGAGCGGTGAGGCACCCCGCCCCTTGCTGCTAAGAATCCTTTGTGCCCCTGGATTTACAGGGATCTATGAGCCCGCCCCTCTTCTCGCCCTCTCCTTGCATAAACATCCTAGGTTGTAATCACGCACAGAGGTGTCCCGATCACCTTGGCTTCGTGCTGAGAAAGGCATCTCACCAAAGTAGGAGTGAGAAAAAGAGAAGAGGTTGAAAGACAGAGAAACACAAACCTGAAATGAGTGAGAGAAACACCTTCCATAGATGTGGCTTTCAAGAAAGCAGCACTGGCCATTTTGCCACGAAAGCATTCTTCATTTCAACCCAGACGACCCTGAGGTTAGACACAAACAAGCATTCTGTCAAGAGCCTCACAGCCATGAGCCCACACTGAGTGAGGGAGTGAGGGAGTGAGCACACAGGCCGTACCATGTCATCCCTTACACTTGATGATGGCTGACCGTGTGAAAAGGGAAACACTTAAAGAGGAAGGAATTATTGGAGAAATAACTTCATAGCTGGTTATTCACCCTTCCCCTTCCTTTCAGCTTCCCAAGGAATTTGGTCTACTGACTTTGCCTAAAAATAATAATTGTCAGTGAATATGAGCCAAGCCTTATGCTAAACATGTCAGATATCTCATTTAGCCTTCACAGTAATCTTATGAGGTAATTACTAATATTATCTCCATTTTGCTGATGGGGAAACTGAGGCTCTGAGCGATTTGGTAACTGCCTGAGATCACACAGGTAATAAGTTAACAGCGGCAGGATTTGAACCCAATCTGAGTCAAGAGCCCATGCTCTTAACCATTCGCCATCCTGCCCCCTGGTTACACTTCCCCAATCTGTCCAGTGGAAATAGGTTGATAATAAGTCCATCTTTAGAAAGTTATGATGTGCTTGGAAACAGAATATTTCATCACTAATTTTTCCTCTGAGAGGACACAGAGTTCTCAACAGTGACTCTGCTCAGGAACCACCGTTTAGACCAAGGGAAGAGTGTTAAACACTGCTGAACACAGAGCCACTTTGTGGACTAGCCATCCTCTAGCGAGACGTGGATTATACCACCTGTACCCATTCCTTAAATTCTAGGACTTTGTGCATCTTAAAGATTACCCATTGTGGCAAGTCCATTCTCTTGCTAACTGCCAAGAAGTTGAGAGTGAATTTTAAAAAATGTGTTTATTTAGCCAGATGGAGATGTGAGGGATTCATGGAGAGGCACGAGTTAAAATGCATTACCTGCCGGGAAAGGTCCACAAGGAAGAAGCTGGTGGTTAGGGTCAGGGTTAGGGTCAGGGTCAGGGTCGGGGTCAGGGTTAGGGTCAGGGTCAGGGTTAGGGTTAAGGACAGAAGCCTTTGTGAGGCTCTGATTGTTGGTTGATTAGAGTCTGGATGGAGCAGATGCTGGAGGGAACACCCCACTTTTGAAAAAGTTAATTCCAGCCAATAAGGAATTGGGAAATGGAATGTCTCCATTGTAACACGTTCTAATTAGACCTTATTTCATCTATAAAACAGACAGAGCATCAAAGAAACTTTATTTGAGAACATGGCGAAGTAAAGTGCTTATCTTAGGTGGCTCTGAGAGGGCCTTAAGAATTTTCATTCCAAGTTAGCAGAGTCCTCAGTTGAATAAACATTTAACTGTATCCGTCCAATGGAGGCTGCGGGAAAGGGGCCGAAACTTAAAAACACAAAGTGTTCCTTTAATACATGTTTTCTCAAAGTCACTGCCGTGCACTTGAAAAGGACGTTTTGCCATTCACTGTTTCTCACAGTTAAATATAGACTGGGAACATATAGCAATAAAAATTCAGACAAGGCCAAATATATTATCACAGAACATATTGAGTCAAAATGTTTGGCCCTGAAACTTCAGTATGCTTAGATTTCTTTGCTCATTTCCTTATGCTACACAAAAGAGGACTTGAGTGAGAGAAATCCTATTTTAAACTACTATTTTCACCAAAAACTCTTGACTCCCTGGAAAGTTTATATAGGTTGTTGATTTCACCTTATTTTTATATAAGTGTACAAATTATATATTTAAATGAAAGTTCTAACATAATACTGCTGGCACATATTACTCATGGAGATGGTACTTGCATTCATGTTTTGCTTAAATCATGAGTTTAAAGATGATAAAGACCTAGGAATAAAGATCTTGTTATTTGGTTATGTGCAGCTAGCGTTGTACTTGCATCCCATTTTTCTCTTATGTAATGTGTGTTTGTTGCATTGGTTCAATGTCTTCTACAGGCAGGGCCTTAGGATAAAGTATGAATAAGGTTCAACATCCCTGCTCTGAAAGGATTCAAAGTCCAGTTAGGGCCAGTAGGCATATATGGAAAAATCTAGCATACTTCTTTGTATGTTATTAGTATGCAATAAATACTTGTTGAGTGGGTGAATGAATGAATAAATAATATGTGAAAGTGGGTAAGTCAAAAACACCTTGAATATTAAAATAAGGTGTTTCAAGATTGTGATTACGTGTTAATCATATCGAATACATCACTATACAATACCCACCGTATTTTGAATCTGGCAGTGGAGGTTAGTGCTTCTTTCCTCCTTGAGAGAACTCGCTCTATATGAAACACAAGGTCCGCCCGCCGGCCTGTCTCAGCACCGGGCGCACTGCACCAGAGTCTTCTGACTCCCCTGGGTTTCATCAGTGTCCTCACAGGGTGCAGGCGACCTGCCAGCCTCGGGGAGGAGGATCTCAAGAAGTAGCAGTGGAGTCTAGGACAAAGGCTGAAGAAACTGGATTTGAGTTCTTTTTTGCTATAAGGTACAGACAATTAATACAATAACTGTTGTCAAGCATTCATTGTTCAAATATCGAAAAATAATAATGCTGGCCAGCATCTCCATAACTGAAGAACAAAACACGAGGCAATTAGAAAATTTGAACTAGACCTCCGGAAAGGCGTCCTGAAATAGAAATCCTTCTTAATAATGTGTAGACTAAACTGTGGACCCCTTCAGAAACTGACAGCAAATCAGCTGGCTTACATGGTCACCTCAATACATTCCCCTCTTCAGGCAAAATTCTCGTCACCGTACCAACCCCCACTCATCCTCCCACCAACTCCGCCAACACACAGAAATTCGCAGGAGTTTAATAGCTGGTATGCGATAAAATGTATTTTTATCCAATTAGGTGCAGATAAAGTCAGAGGAAACTGAATACCAGAATTGTCCTGAATAGTCCTGGAATAATTATAATTGCTGGCGTTTATCATGCTAACTATGTGCTAAGCTTTACATGCATTTTTCTCATTTTCTCATCATTATTGACTCCATTTTACAGATGAGGAAACTGAAACACAGAGGTTAAGCAATTTCCCCAAGGTCACACAGCTCATAAGAGGTAGAACCAGTCTTTCAATCCAAGTTAATTCCTGGACCTGAAATCTCAACCTTTATGGCAAATCCAAGTTAAGGACGTAGAGTATTGGAAATTCCATGAACAATTATTTCATAATGTTATAATCTATTGGGAAAACCAAGAATCGATCTGCCTCCCAGATGACTTCTTCTACTTACAGAAGACAGGGACTTTGGTGCCATGATGGGTAGGAAACAATTACATGCGGGAAATGATTACATAGAAGCTGTTTCCAACCCCTCCAACTGCTGACTGGGTTTCCGATAATCATTCTATAAAAGTACAGAGAAGAAGATTAAAAACCACTGAAATAACTCAAGAATCCTCGGAGGCTTGCCTCGTGGTGTTTATTGCCAATCCCATTACTCCACATGAATGAGAGAATAGAGATTGAGCAAGTCTGTTTAACAGAACAGAACTTACTTCTGGAAAAGCAAGCAAATTTCCTTTATCAGTCGCTCCTGTGTCTTGGAACTGCTAGTGCATGTGAACAGTAAGCGTTAGTCAGCGGGGCCGTCCCGGAACACATCTGGCTCTCCGTTCAGTCACATTTTGTGAAAGGAGGCGGAAGAGCTGGGTCGTGACTTTCACTCTTGTTTCTTGAGACACATGGGATGCCTTTGTTCTGACGCCCAACAGTAAACAACTGAGAGAGTCTCGGGTTTGGCACTGGTGTCCTCCTCCGTAAATCTGAGCACTCCTCAGTGTGATGACTCTCTTAGTCACCAGATAGTTAGATATTGAATGTGACTGTCAGTAGGAGGTCTCACTAGGTTATAAAATAAAATGAAAGACTTTTTTTCAGATAATCTTATATCATGATTCCTTTTTAGAACTTGATTTGAAATATTTGAGCGATAAGAGCATACTTATATTATTGTACCATTAAATCACATGGGCAAATAGAGATGGTTTCAAAGTGATATCAGGATAAGAAAGGCCTCTGTAAGGAGATTTTCCTCAGACTCTGCAAGCCGGTAATGGTAGCGTGCCCCTCCTTTGCTGGACCCTGCCAGTGTGCGTGAGATGACTTTCCATTCCAGACGCCAGTGTGGAAACGAACTAAATGACCTCTGAGGACCATAGGACACAAATAGCCTTGTGAGTCCATTAATATGAAACTTTCCCATTTAATTTCAGTGTCAAGTTCCACAGAACTTTAAAGGTGACCAAAAAAAACCATTTTGGATTTCTGCAGCGGCTGGGTTTGCCTTAGGATGCCTTCCCTCCAGCACATAGGGTAGAGTATTGTCTTCTGGGAAATGTTGTTGGAGCACCAAAAAAAGCGCAGTGCTCCTGGAAGGTCCCTTCATGCTTTCACATAGCTATCCCGCTAGTGACTACTAAGTAGGTATTGAGTACATAAAATTGAACCCCAGCTTTTTGTTCAAAGACACTTTGAATTACCTAATGACAAAACAAATACATTCTTATCAACTCAGATAAGTTATTATCCTCAAATCTTTTTCCTTTTCTCTCTCCTCCCATCTTCCTGTTCTATGCTTCTCTGGCATGGGCATACCTCTCTGTTAACCTTCCCACACACTCACCTTCTGTCTCTCTCTCTCTCACACACACACACACTGGCACACGTGGACACACCACCCCCAG